AAAATTATATGAAAAAAAAAAATCAATGATCAGGATCAAAACAGCACAATAAATGGAAAGAAAAAAAATAAAAGAAACTGAAATAAAGTCTTTTACAAGCTTCTACATTGTCAAATGAGGGGAAGTCTATATTGACAGCAGGCATAAATAAACAGAAATAAAACACAAAGCAAAAGAGAGAAAATGTCTAACAATTCAACATCTCAATATGTTTTAAGTGTCCATGTTTTTTTTTCACGTAATGCTGATTTTAATTTCTCTTTTCCCAGAGGCTCCTTTTTAGAACTTAAACAGGAACGACAATAAATGTTCTTTAAAAGAAAAGAAAAAAAACAAGATACAAAAACCACATGCGTAATACTTCCAACTAAAATTGGTAATGACTCCTTTATTTTCACTCTGAAAAAAGGGCGGGAATCAATTTAAGATGGCAATCTTCAAATGTCACCAGATAAAAATCCTCTTTTCACTCTCAAAAACTAAACTAAAGCAAAAACCGTCAATGTGCTTAAAAATTCAAAGTCTGAAACAAAGAAAGTCACAGTGGCTCAAACCATAACAACGTTGACGGCTTCGATTTTGTCATTAATAAGACCGATCTACATCGGTAACAGCAGTTCCCACTATTGCAAATAAATACAGTTTTAAAATTCACTTTAATGTTTTCTCTAGAAAGTTTTAAGGAAAATAATAAAAGAATACTTAAAATCAGAAAGAGATTCTTGAAATTTCTGGACCAGGTTATAAGGAAATATGGCTTGGATAACTGCTTTCGTTTATTTTGTTTTACGGCATATCAACCTCAATAGGTTATTCAGTGCCTACAAGATTTTTACGATAGGTTCGTATGAATAGAATATGGTTTTGTTTATTTTGTTTTACGGCATATCAACCTCAATGGATTATTTAATGCCGACAAGATTTTTACGATAGGTTCGTATGAATAGAATATGGTAACGTTTATTTTGTTTTACGGCATATAAACCTCAATGGGTTATTTAATTGCTACAAGATTTTTACAATAGGTTCGTATAAATAGAATATGGTTTTGTTTATTTTGTTTTACGGCATATAAACCTCAGTGGGTTATTTAATGCCTACAGGATTTTTAAGATAGGTTCGTATAAATAGAATATGGTTTCGTTTATTTTGTTTTACGGCATAAAAACCTCAATGGATTATTTAATGCCTACAAGATTTTTACGATAGTTTCGTATGAATAGAATATGGTTTCGTTTATTTTGTTTTATGGCATATCTGCCTCAATGGGTTATTTAATGCCGACAAGATTTTTACGATAGGTTTGTATGAACAGAATATGGATTCGTTTATTCTGTTTTTTGGCATATCAACCTCAATGGCTTATTTAATGCCGACAAGATTTTTATTTCTGATATCTATCTATCTATCTATCTATCTATCTATCTATCTATCTATCTATCTCTTGGTTTGGTTTGTTTCACGGCATGTCAAACAAGATTCTTATTGCTGGTAATATTTTTTATTTTTTCAAAAATGTATTGCTGGCCTTTTTTTTTTAAATGTATTGCTGGTATTAAAACTTATTTTTACACCTTCGTAGTGTTTTACCTCAGTTTGGGGGTTAACTATTTGTCCATAGCTAACATAGCCTAACAGGTGCTACCACCGCGGATCAGGATGGACATAATTAATCAAGATGTGGTTCCACACTTCTCAAAACCTCCGGATCAGAAGCCTTGCTGCGGGATGTAGTTTATCGTCATACCCAGAACTTCTCACTGAAAGTGTCTTACCCTTCTGCAGAGGTGCAGTCGATGTATTCTGAAGCACCAGACGACTGGACGAGGAGAATTTGTCAAAGAACAAATTGAAGGCAAAAGGAGAACAGAAAACATCCTAGTAACATACTTAACGAGCATGTGTAAATGGACGAAGATCACGTGAGATAGTAAACGGAGAAACATCATTTAAAACTGCTAAATATAAGAAGTTGTGGAGAGCCATGATCGTTGACGTTTCGAAGAAACACGTGACATAAAAGATTAATCTGCTACCAGTGTTCAAGAGAGCAACCTTACTTTTATTATATTTTTACAAATGTTGACCCAATACAAGACCTAAGAGCCGCTCAAGGTAGAGGGTGACTGAATTATGTATGTGACTTAACAGAGGTAGAATGTGACTGAATGAGGTATGTGACATAACACAGGTGGGGACTAAACGAGGCATGTGACTTAACAGAGGTAGAGGGTGACTGAATGATGTGACATAACAGAGGTACAGTGTGACTGAGTGAGGTATGTGACATAACACAGGTGGTGACTAAATGAGTCATGTAACTTAACAGAGGTGGTGACTGAATGATGTATGTGACATAACAGAGGTAGAGTCTGACTGAATGAGGTATGCGACATAACAGAGTTGACTGGGTGAGGTATGTGATATAAACATGAGTAAGCTGGAAATGAAAAGTATGAGTATATGGGGGATGGATGAATATGAAATGGAAGCAAAAAGGACTCATACTTAAAATCAGAAAAAAAAAGACAGTTGAAATTTTTGGCGCCTGGAAAGAGGTCTTAGTAAATGTGACACTCACAGCATATATTAATGGCTCGAGTGACAGATGATAGCAGCGAAGAACCAACCTAACAAGTTTGTGTTGGTTAGCAATACACGGATTAGAATCGATAGCAAACAGATAAACATTGTTAAGAGTCACAAAGAACAGAGAGTTGTGGAGAGCCATTATCGCCCACGTCCTGAAGAAACACGGGACATTTCAGTCTATTACTCACGAGAGCAACATTATTTTTATTTATTTATTTATTATTTATTTTACTAATGTTCACACAGTGCAAGCGCCAAGAGCCACCCAAGTTAGAGGAGTGTAGTATGGACGTAAGAGAAGGAACTAGGAAGTGAAGATTATAAAGATAAATAACGATTGACTCTAGAGTTGAAACTAGAACAATCTACTCCGGTGGACGAAATAAAGCGTTCGGTTCGAAATTCCAATCGTCTGAAGAAAGCCAGAGCCTACAACGGCCGAAACGTCGTGAATATGGTCATGTAGATGAGGATAACAGTCCAAATAATGTAAATAATACAGGTAATCGTAATTTGATTAATCTATTTATTTTTTTTTGTCTTTTCTTTCTTTCTTTCTTTCATATTAACTTATATCTTGTCTTTTGATGTTCTTTAATTCATTCATTCATTCATTCTTTCTTTCTTCCTTTCTTTCTTTATTATTGGTTTATTTCTTCGCTTTTTCCGTTATTTCATTCATTCTTTCTTTTCTTCTTATTCATTTCTTGTTTTTCATTCTTTCTTCTTATTTTATTTCTTCTCCTTTTACGTTCTTTCATTCATTTCTTTCTTATTATTTTCTTGTGTTTCGTTCATTCATTCTTTCTTTCTTAGTTTATTTCTTCTGTATTAGCTTTCTTTCATTCATTCTTTTCTTCTTTCTTATTACTTCCTTGTCTCTCTTTCTTTCTTTCTTATTTTATTTTTCTCTTTTTACGTTCTTTCATTCTTTCTTTACTTTCATCTTTCTTATTTCTTTCTTGTTTTTCATTCATTCTTTCTTTTCTTTCTTCTTTCTTTCTTGTCTTTCATACATTCTTTCTTTTCTTCTTTCTTGTTTTTCATTCATTCATTCTTACTTCCTTATTAGTTTACTTCTTTCTTAGATTCTGTTATTCTTTCTTCCTTTCTTTCTTTCTTTCTTTCTTTCTTTCTTTCTTTCTTTCTTTCTTTCTTTCTGATTAATTTTATGTCTTTTATGCTTTTACTTTTTCTTTCTTTCTTCTTTCTTTTTTTCTTTCTTTCTGATTAATTTTATGTCTTTTATGCTTTTACTTTTTCTTTCTTTCTTCTTTCTTTCTTTCTTTCTTTCTGATTAATTTTATGTCTTTTATGCTTTTACTTTTTCTTTCTTTCTTCTTTCTTTCTTTCTTTCTTTCTTTCTGATTAATTTTATGTCTTTTATGCTTTTACTTTTTCTTTCTTTCTTCTTTCTTTCTTTCTTTCTTTCTTTCTTTATCATTTACTTTCTCAACATTCCTCCTTATCGCCTTCTCGCTTACGCTCATTTTTCCTAATATCATTTTCATCTTTCTTAATATTTTGCATAGTTTCTGGAAGACATCTTTCGTTAGATAATCTTTTCCAGCTATTAAATAACACACTTACATTTTTATCAATACATAGGGACACATGATAGTACCTGATTCATAATGATGTTGATAATAAAAGAATTGTATTCATTTATCTCACGTTTTACCTGTCAACCTATTTTGCACTTTATCAAAGGATAAACCGTATGACCTATCGCTACGAGAATGAAGCGAATGATAACTCTATGATAGTGATATTCACTGTTGTTCTTTTTAGCTATGTCTATTTTGTGGTTCGTTCATAGTTTCGGGCAGTGACTTATGCAAACACTTTTCCTCTACAGGAAATTGTGAGCGTGCATTTTAAACGAAAGCTCACAGCCAAAATCGATTGAATCACTGAAATCGATGTTGAAACGGATATCCGAATATTATTGATTTTTACTGATAAGCACCGAATTATGGGTGAAAACCGCCCAAATCTTTCGACAATTATAAGCTTTTGAATTGATAGTAAAATTCCCTCAAAGACACACCCTACACACACGAATAATATATATATATATATATATATATATATATATATATATATATATATATATATATATATATATATATATATATATATATGGGAGAGGTTTAAAGGAGTGAGAATCCGACAGAATAGTAAATAACAGACAACAGATTTCAAATTGTCTCATATATATATATATATATATATATATATATATTAATTATATGGATGACTAAAATGGAGAGATATTAATAGACTGAGATAGATAGATAGATAGATAGATAGATAGATAGATAGATAGATAGATATTAACAGACACAGATAGATAGATAGATAGATAGATAGATAGATAGATAGATAGATAGATAGATAGATAGATATTAACAGACACGGATAGATAGATAGATAGATAGATAGATAGATAGATAGATAGATAGATAGATATTAACAGACACAGATAGATAGATAGATAGATAGATAGATAGATAGATAGATAGATAGATAGATATTAACAGACACAGATAGATAGATAGATAGATAGATAGATAGATAGATGAAAATAGAAGATAGCTAAACAAATGGAAATAAAGAGAAGGTGCTTTTAAATAGCGGCTCTATTTCCTCATTATTTCTCCTCGCAGATGAACCAACTGATATTATTTCGCGTTGGCGTCACAAGTTGATTGAAGTCCCTAATTAAAAACGTAACCGATTAAACACTTAATTAAAAGATCGCGAATTACGATAACTAATCGAACTTATTCGAGCTTCAAGGAAAGATGGAATCAAATGATTTCTTACGATGGCTATTTACCATTTCTTCTTTTTCTACCAGAGCCATATTAAGTTCTTTTCTACATGACCAAAAAAGTAGACGTCATTTAGCACACTGCGACAGAGTGATTACGTGAATCACGTATAAAAGTATTTTTAAAAAAATGTTGGTTTCATTGATGACGGGCACATAGTACAAAATCGATGTATTTAAAGGGCAACTGTGGCAGGTATCACGGCGTTTACAACATGACACAGAGAACATGTGGCCACAGGGCTGAATATCGTTTACTAACATGTTAACCGATAGCGAAAGTTGCCTTCCAGAAGTTAAGCAAACTATTAAGAAACAGGGAAACTTCATCCTGAAAGAATTAGAATTTTGAACGAGATTTATTATTGTCGGACACACTGTTAACAACAAAAGATACGCAGATGACACAGTGTTGATACAGAAGGTAGTGAAGGAAAGTGAGAAGAAAGGACTATTGCAAGAATTTAATGCAATGGTTGTTAGCAAAAGGAACAGCACAACATGCAAATTACAGATTTCGGATACCGAAATCAAAAAGGTGCATTGGGACAGTGAAAGATGCGTTCCAAAAACTAAGCAAAGTATTAAGAAACAGGAAAATTTCGTTTGAAACAAAGAAAATGGTACGAAAATCAAACAAGTACCAAAATTTAAATATCTGGGAAGTTTGTTAACAGAGGACGGAAAATGCAATATCGAAATCCGAAGGTGCATTGGGTGAACGAAAGAGGTCTTTCTTAAAGCGAAGCAAAGTATTTAAGAAAGAAAAAATATCCTTAAAAACAAAGAAAAGAGTACTGAGCTGTTTATCAGTTTTCCTATATTGCAGGGAATACTGAACAATCTCTGCACAGATGAATAAGAGACTTCAATCAAGAGAAATGTGGTTCTACAGAAGGATACTGAGAATACCACGGAGAGAATATGTAAGCAACGACAAAGTTTTAGAGGAAATGAAAATAAAAACACTTATACTTAACATCATGAAGAGACAACAGAAATTTCTAGGGCACATAATGAGGAAAGAGGGCTTGGAAAATTTGATACTTACAGGATCGATTGAAGGCAAGAGGGACAGAAGAAAGTAACGTATAGGTCACCTAGAGAGCTTGAGTAAATGGATGGCTGATTATGGTTTAGGGGAGATAACAAAAAGATAAAATTTATTAAGTGTTACAAAGGGCAAGAAATTATAGAGAGGTACACGGCACATAGAAGCTGTTGCTTAACTACGGACACGTGGCACCATGGCCCGACTGACACTACAACACTGCGAGATTGAATCGAAGTCTGTAATGAACATTGACAAGAGTATATTCGGCCCTATCGACGGTGTATCGGGAGAAACCATTGTGGAAGCAGGTACAGTTAAACGGGTTTAACAACATTTTCAATAACAAATGGGAAGTAAATGAAAAGGACAAAATAATACGAAGTAAACAATGCAATGCAAGGCAATGCAAAGCAACTATAAGACAAGAACAACGTAAAGGAGTTCCCAAAAGTAAAACAGTGTTCACACGAAAAAGTGATACAGTTGTCATAGTCTTCTGAATTTAAGTCAAGAAAGAAAAAAATGTGTAGGTAAGACCAAGGATTTTCCAATTTTATTGGTTGGGAAAAATCTCAGCATGTATCTGTAGGATTTTTCTAGACACTTGCGAAGGGGATTTTTTAGCAGTCATTCCCCGAGATTGAAACCAACAGAAACAGAGCTTCCAGAATTTATGCCCCTTTGACACACTGGCCCAACCTCTGGCATCTTTGTGTGGTGTGACTTAAGTTATAGCTAACTCTGGCTCATCTTTGATGCCCGGAGAGGAATTAAAATCACGTGCAACCAAAACATTGCTCAAAGTTTGGCTGCTATTTCTGAAAAAAAAATAAGGTGAAATGCTGTTCTAACAGGATAATTCCTGCTCGTAAGGTGCCTGCAAGATGCTCGATAACTTCACAGACATGTTCTCCATTGAACATATATTGGAAATGATGTGACTACGCCTAACTCGCTCAGTTGTCACACCTACAACTAGATTACATCAAAAGATACAAGAGATGTTGAATCGAAGAATGATACAATCATATGCACACGTGATTAGAGACTTGTATTAACAATCATGGCGGATATAAAGAGTATTAGAATGATGTTTCAGCAACCATACTTCATCCCTAGATTATAAACCTGTGTACGCATTGACTTGTAGATGTGACCTTTTATGCACGTTGGATCTAAAGTAAATTAAAACATATATTCAGAGGATGCAATTTTATTTTTCAGCAATACATACACACATATATAAACATACAAGGTGCGATGAGTAAATTGTCACCATATTTATATTTTTATTTTTGCTCGTTTGAGCGTTGTTTGTTTTTGATTTTATCGACTGCACAGTATAGTAGGGTCAGTTGGGCACCGTCTCCGAGAAAAAGAGCATCATTAAACTGTTCACCCAGCCGGAAAGCTGGAAACGGTATTCTGTACTGCTTGGCATTCGCACCGGAAGCTGCTATACGAACGTTTCAGAGTGTTTTGGGTGTTAATCGGAGGACAGTACAGCAGCTTCGGAAATAGGTGGATGATATATCCAGTCAACATCATGGTGTTTGGAGTGATCACTAGTGATGGCAATGTTATGCTTCCATTCATCTTCCCATAGGGCCTCAGACTCAAAACGAAGTCCTACATCAAGTGCCTTGAGGAGGCAGTGCTGACCTGGGTCAAGAGGGAAACTGCTGGAAGACCCCATGTCTGGCAACAGGACTCTAATTCCACGTGCCATGTCTAATGGACGTCAGTTATCAGTTATCTCCTGTTAATTCCCCTCTCCAAGTTCTCCACCGCTTTAACCAGGTATTGAACTCACACTCTATGGGTCCTGTCTCTGGATCTAACTAACGCCTAACAATAGTTCGAATAATGTAAATAGTGTACATAATACGTCATCGCAGAAATATAGTCAAAATTAGGGGTGCGTATTAGGCAAAGCTACAAAAAATCTTTAAAAACTGCCGTTTCATAGGTCGATTTCAGTTGAGAAATGACTACCCACCACAACATACGACAATTTGTCACTAACATTCGCCGATTGCGACCCCATAAGGATGTCAAATATAATCATATGTACCTAACAATGCTTACAAATGTAAAATAAAATAAGAATTATCATAAAACTAAATTAGAATAATATTATTCTATGTTTAAAACTATTTTTAAATAAGAGTAGAAATAACTGTCCGTAATGAAATTGGAGAGGTGCAATTTATAGGGTCTGATTACCAAACAAGGGATACGTATTATGCGTAAGTAGAAGCATTTTCCTACACTTTCAGCACAATTTTTAGGGTTGCGTATTATGGATGAACGCGTATTATACATGGAGAATTACGGCAGATGAAATTTCTAGAAGATATGGAGGATTTGACACTTGGATAACATTGAAATCAAGCGGAACAGTGTAAAGCAGCAGAGTAACCTAACGAGCTTGTGAAAATGGCAAAATAGATAGGGAAAGGGATAATAAAAAGACAAGCATTGCTAAGAGATCGGAAGAATAGGAAGCTGTGGAGAGACATGATCGCCTAAATTCTGAAGAGTGTAGGCCCAAAGAAGAAGGCATGATCACTACCCTTGATAGAACAGAAGACACTACAAGACTAAGCGTTTTCCCACCATTCCATTGCTATGTTTTCGTTTATGTTCAACAGCATTGGTATTTTTTTTATATTTTATTCTTTATTTTCTCTTGTAATGTTTTATGGCTAATCATTTGATTCTGTCGAATACGGTAATTATCATTAATTATTGGCATTATTTTCTTTTAATCATTTCTAAGATGACCATCTAGAAATTGATGAAAAACTCAATGGAGCCGAGGCATTAATCTAAGATTTAAAAAATACTATTAAGAAAATTATTCAGACGGAGAAGAAGGCATTATCACCGCCCTTGATAAAAACAGAAGAGACTACATTACTTAAAGACAGTGGCAGTGGTAATGTTCAACTAATACAAACGGGTTATGAGTCCACTTTTGAATGCCAAACAACTGTCATAGACTCATATTATCACAACAGATGTTTTATATTACTATTAGGTTGGTGCAAAAATAATGACGTAATAATGTCGTTTTTTAACGTATTTTTTAACGTCAAAAACGACATCATTACGTCATTATTTTTGCACCAACCTAATACAATAATTTTCTGTCCCGGAGAGTCTTTACCAAAACAAAACAAAGAAAACATGCTGAAACATTGTATAAACGCCGTCCTCAGGTCTCTTCCCTCTCTCTCTCTCTCTCTCTCTCTCCCTCTCTCTCTCTCTCTCTCTCTCTCTCTCTCTCTCTCTCTCTACCATATTTCAGAATGTCATATTCCCTCTTTCCAAAGTTTTCTCGCTCAAATGGAGAACTGAAGGATTGTACTGGGATAGTCCGAATGTCTTGTCACGCCTACATTTTTATTTTTTTTATTCCAGATGGCTGACGCGAAAATGATGATGTTTATACTGACCTTCTCAACGTGTGACAATTCATTTTGGGTTGAATAAAGCCAATGTCCAAACGTTGGTGGAAATAGTCTATACCCATGAGGTAATTTTGATTTCCCTGTTATATAAGATATATGATCAGTTATAATAAATACATTAAGCTCTTTTTGTGAATCAGTTTTAATTATTAGGATCCACTTGGCTTATATACCAACAGATTTATGACCTGTAATATATATATATATATTACAGGTCATAAATCTGTTGGTA